CTGCACTCCAGCCTGAGTGACTCAAAAAAAAAAGTTTATTTTAGACCACAAAACAAAAACAAAAACAAACTCTTGGGCTCAAGCAATCCTGACTTGGCTTCCCAAAGTGCAGGGATTACAGGCATGAGCCACAGAGAGACACTATTTAAAAAGGTAAGGGGGGGGGGCAGAGACACAACACAGGATGACAACACAACATCAATAAAGGTACCTGATCTCAAACCCTCAAACCAGGCAAAGTGGGGACGAAAGGGAGGCCTAAACTTTACCTGTATGATGACCACTTGTATACCTAATACTGAATTGTACCCCAAATCTTTTTTTTTTTTAAAAAGTAACAAATGGGAATTTTTGTAAAAATGATAAAAGATAAAAAAATCTCAGATTGAGGAGTCACTATATGCTCCTAATAGAATAAATAAAATTAAATTCACACCATGTAATGAAACTGCAAAACACAAATGACAAGATCGTAAAAACCACCAGAATGACAGGTTACCTACAATAAAATAAGTTAAATTGTGAGCACTGCTCTCAAGAGTAAAAGCAAAAAGTCAGAATTTTAATGAAATAACATTTCCAAAGTGCTGACAAAAAAAATTATTGTAAGCCTACTACCCAGTTAAACTATCAAGAATGAAGATGAAATAAAGGTATTTTTAAATGAAGATAGTGTTTATCACTAATAGACCTCACTGAAGCAAATATCTAAAGGATGTATACATGTATTCAACAAAAAAGGAAGGAATAAAGTGCAAGAAAGATGAAGAAACAAGCAACAAACATATATAGGTAAAATGAAATAATCACTAAACACAAAATAGTAATTTTTAAAAAAAAACTTTTATTTGAGACACTCTTGCTTTGTCTATCCAGGCTGGAGTGCAGTACTGTGATCATAACTCACAGCAGCCTCAAACTCCTGGGATAAAGCAATCTTCCCACCTCAGTCTCCCAAATAGTTGGGACTATAAGCATGAACCACCACACCCAACTTATTTTTTTTCTTACTTTTTTTGGAGAGAAAAGGTCTCACTATGTACCCAGGCTGAAATTTTTTTTTTTTTTTTTTTTTTTGAGTTGGAGTCTCACTCTGTCGCCCAGACTGGAGTGCAGTGGCACACTCACGGTCACCGCAGCCTCAACCTGCTGGGCTCCAGCGATGCTTCAGCCTCAGCCTTCCAAGTAGCTGGAACTACAGGCGTGCGCTACCACGCCCGGCTAATTTTTTGATTTATTGTAGAGATGAGGCGGGTCTCGAACCTGCTGGCTCAGGCAATCCACTCACCTCAGCCTCTCAAAGTGGGATTACGGACTGAGTCACCGAACCTGGCTTTTTTTTTTTTTTTTTTTTTGAGATAGGATCTTGCTATGTTGCCAAGGTTGGTCACAAACTCTGAGCTCACGCAGTCCTACTGCCTCAGCCATCATAGTAGCTGGGATTACAGACATGTGCCACCATGCCTGGCTACAAAATAATTATTATTAATTAGAATTGTTAGACATTGAGATGGATTGATTTCAGGAATGGTCCCAATCTAGAAAGTACTCATTTTGAGTCTGGACAACACCTTTTGATATGTTTAGTGTACACTGGGTAAAAGGCTGAATTAAATGACCCCCCAATATACCTTTTGACCACAGAGTTTTTATCAATTAGATACAGCTGTCAAAACAGCCCCGATCAGCTCTGTTCAGCCATCTAAGGCAGAGCTTTGCCCTTAACAGTCCTAAAACTCAAATCTTAGTTCAAGGCATTCTTCCTACTTCCATATTCCACAAGTAAAAAAATATTCTAAATAGAAATGTTTCTTAATGAGCTTCCAAGTAAGACCTTCCAGCTTTGGGGGAATATAGCTTTTGACTTTGGACTAAAATCAGGCATTACAATTAGTCTTCATTTGCTTAAGCTTAGACCAAGAAAAGTGTGCTTTGGAAGCTTTTACAAAGAAGTATGTGCTTATTCTGCTAAAGGAGAAAATACTGTTACCAAAAACCAGGGATTTGGTCTAGGTCCTATTGTTCATCACACAGAATTCAATCACAGAGACAATGAGTATTGCCAGGGAAAAGGGCTTTATTATCTTACAGGTGACTTGAACTGGAGAGATGGGAGCCAAACCTCAAATCTGTTCCTCCTCCCCCACCAAAGTTAAAGGTTTATATAGCTGGGAAGGAAAACAAAAGGGGCAAGGAAGAGAAGTTGGTCAACAGGCAGCAGGTGATTGAATGAGAGGTCTAGCGTCTCACCATGTTTAGGAAAACAGGAATTAGGGATGGGTAAGGAAGGAGAGCAAGTCAACAAGCCGCAGCTGCGTTTCACCGTACAAATGTCAGTTTTCTGGGCACCTGGCTTGTTGGAAAACTAGGCTGGTTTCAATATCACACAGAAACAGAGAGGGAGGGAATGCACATACCCATCCCTGCTGAGTGAACTCTATCTTACCTGATCCGAATGCTTGCCCATTTTACCATATATTCACGGTAAAGATCTCCACAAGAGCCGGGATTGGTGGCTCAGGCTGTAATCCCGCGCCTTTGGGAGGTTGAGGTGAGTGGATTGCCTGAGCCCGCGGGTTCGAGACCCGCCTGGGCAACTTGGCGAGACCTCATCTCTACAATAAATCAAAATGAGCCGGGCATGGTAGCAGGCGCCTGCAGTTCCAGCTACTTGGAAGGCTGAGGCGGAAGGATCACCAGAGCCCAGCAGGTAGAGGCTGCGGTGGCCAGGAGCAGCCACTGCACTTCAGCCTGGGTGACAGACAGTAAGACTCCAAATCAAAAAAAAAAAAAAATCTCCACAAGGTAGAGAGGCCCAACTCCCCTCCCACCAAAAGTACCTGCCCATCACAGAGCAAAGCACTTGACAACCGAGAACTTTGGGAACACAGGACCAGGCAACAAACCCGAGATAGAGAAGTATGGATTACAGCAGGTATGTTTCACATTTTCAGAAAGTGGTGCCAATTCAAAAGCCACTAAATGAAAACAGAAAAAAGCAGCCAGGTATGGTGGCTTAACACGTGTAATCCCAGCACTTTGGGAGGCAAGAGGATTGCCTGAGCCCAGAGAGTACAGGCATGAGCCACCACTCCCAGCTTCAGGAGTTGAAGACCAGCCTGGGCAACTTGGCAAGACCTCTTCTCTACAATAAATCAAAAATTAGCCAGGTGTGGTTGCACAGGCCTATAGTTCCAGGTACTTGGAAGGTTGAGGCTGAAGGATAACCTGAGCCCAGCAGGTTAAGGCTAAAGTGGCCATGAGCGTGCCACTGAACTCTAGCCTAGGCGACAGAGTGAGACTCCAAATCATAAAATAAAAATGAATAAATAAAATGGGAAAGCCAGGTTTCTATTCCCCAGGAAAACATATCATTCCAAAGCATATACTAATGCCCATGACATGTCTCAAATCCCGCATAGTCATTAGGATACAATGACAAAAAGTCTCTCACTATCTAGAAGGGCAGACAAGCATGCAAAGACTCTTAAAATATCAGATGACAAGTGCCCCCTCATAGGTAACCAAGAGAAGGGCGAGTAGCCAGAGGAGGCAGCATCAACCCAGTTGGGCTCTGTCCCACTCACAATCTTCATAGTCATGTCAAATTTGTACTCTCCAAAGTGCTTGCACAAAATATCTTAACTGTTTTAACACTCACAACAACCCGAGGAAGTAGAGGCAAAGCAGGTAAGGTCACTGTTGACATATATGAAAAGTGAGTTTCGTTCGGGCTGGGCTCGGTGGCTCAGCCTGTAATCCCAGCACTTTGGGAGACCGAGGCGAGTGGATTGCCTGAGCCCGTGGGTTCAAGACCCACCCGGGGAACTTGGCAAGACCTGCTCTCTACAGTAAATCAAAATAATGAGCAGGGCGTGGTAGTGCGCGCCTATAGTTCCGGCTACTTGGAAGGCTGAGGCAAAAAGGGTTAGGGTAGAGGCTGCGGTGGCTGGGAGCGTGCCACTGCACTCCAGTCTGGGCGACGGAGTGAGATTCCAACTCAAAAAAAAAAAAAAAAAAAAGGCCAGGCTCGGTAGCTCAGCCTGTAATCCCGCGCCTTGGGAGGCTGTGGTGAGTGAATTGTACTCTCCAAAGTGCTTGCACAAAATATCTTAACTGTTTTGACTCTCACAACAACCCGAGGAAGTAGAGGCAAAGCAGGTAAGGTCACTGTTGACATATATGAAAAGTGAGTTTCGTTCGGGCCGGGCTCGGTGGCTCAGCCTGTAATCCCAGCACTTTGGGAGACCGAGGTGAGACCTCACCTCTACAATAAATCAAAAAATCAGCCGGGCGTGGTAGCGCATGCCTGTAATTCCGGCTACTTGGAAGGCTGAGGCGGAAGGATCGCCGGAGCAGTCACTGCACTCCAGTCTGGGCGACTGAGACTCCAACTTACACTGCACCTTTCCCGTCCTCTTTGTCGCCCAACCCTCACTACCCCAAGTCTCACCAACCTCCCACTAGCTGTGTAACTCTGGCCAAGGTAAACATTATAAACCTCAGGGTCCCCATCTGTAATGACCTATAGCAAGGTTTTTAAGAGTTTCAAAAAACAATCCTTTGGCTGGTGATTTTGGATTTTTTTTTAAGTGGGCCGGGCACGATGGTTCACGTCTGTAGTCCCAGCACTTTGAGAGGCCGAAATGGGAGGACTGCTTGAGCCCAGGAGTTCGAGACCAACCTGGGCAACACAGCCAGACCCCGTTTCAACAAAAACAAAGGAAAAAAAGGCCCTTATATACGGTGTAGCACAATGCTAGAAACATAGCGGAGGCTCGCTAAATGTTGGCGACTGTACTACTGTAACAACGGCTGTGTGAACAATAACAGGCGACGACTTTCCAAGACAGGAGCCCTGGGTTACAAGCCTTTCAGGAACGTGACCCCTTCCCGTAGAATTCCACAGACACGCCCCAGACAGACCCTCCCCCTTGAGGCTTCCCGGCTCCTCCCCCTCGGACGGGCCCTTCTCCCCGCAAACCTTACCCCCGAAGATTCTCCCCTCTTAGACTCGTTTACGAAGGAGGCCTTCCGCTCGCGCCGGCCTCTCCAGCACCCCCTTTAGGCCCCGGCATCCCTGCGGGCGCCCAGGCTTCACGCTAGACGTGGCCCGCGCCGGTTACCTGGCCGCGCGCTCCCGCTCCGCCTCACGACGCCCCCGACCGCACCTTGCCGCGGGCCCGCGCCAGCGCTGTGAGCGCACAATTTAAACTAAGGCCCCGCCCCCTCGCTCCGCCCTCTGATTGGCCCCTGCCGGCTGTTGTGGTGCGCGGGGCACGCTCGAGGACCCGGGAAAAGGAAGTTTGAGGGCCACTCGGAAGGGAAAGGGGGTGTCACTACTTCCGGACCCCGGCCTGGACTTGAGGGAGAAAGGGAACTACAAGTCCCAGCAGCCCCGCGGCCTTGGAGCCCCGCCCCTGACGAACTACAGGTCCCGGTAGGCATCGCGGGCGCACTTAAGGAGCCTGCCAAGACGTGGTGACGAAAGTAGTTGCCATGGAGTTGCCCTGAGTAACCCTCAGGTGGTGAGACGCCGAGACTGGAGAGAAAGCGACTGCGGGTGAGTCAACCGCGGAAAAAGGAAACCCGCTCTAGGGGACAAGAGTTCTATGGAGATGGGAAGGGCACCACAGAAAGACTAAGAACTTCCCTACTCGGGGATGTTTTCCCAGTGAACAAGAGACAACACCCATATGGGACAGACTGGGGACAGCGGGAGGGAAGGGCGTTGAACAACGTACCCATGCAGATTTGAGAGTGCTTGAGAACCTCCCGCAACGCAAACATGGGGTCCCCACATTCGGATGCCTCAAGTCCCAAACACACCTTGGGAGACACACCCTGAACGGCCCTCAGACGTGGGATTGGTTTTCCTCTGACGAACTGAGACCCTCTTCGAGACATGGGAGTAGCACTGGAGCAAATCACAGTCCTTACCCTGATTCTGGAGATGTAGGAAACTATGGGAAGTGCCTCTTTCCTTCCTCTTTCCAAACAGGAAAACCCCTCTTCAAGCAACAGGATCCTCCCACACTGTCCCCAAATTACCTCTTCTCCCCACACCTCCTCCATGCTCTGCTTCTCTAAGCTCTGCAGTTGGAGCTTCATTCTTTATACGGTCTTTATGACAGATCTATTACATTTAGTAACTTATCCAGCGCTTTCACAGTCTCTCTTTTGATACTCATAACAGCTCTGTGAGACAAGGATATTTATCCCCATTTCACAGATTGGAAAACTGAAACCCAGAGAAAAGTGACTTGCCCAATTGTGCTAGAACTAGACTCCAGTTCTCCAACTTCCAGCCAAGTCTCTTCAGCATGAGCCTACTGCCTCTATAACTGAAGGACTTTTTCCAAGGAGTAAATTAAACTGCCCCAGAAAGAAGGAATCTGTACGGCTACTTTGGTTCATTTACACTTCAGCCTGAATGAATTTTAAATCTTTCCTTGAAAGTTAAAAAAAAAAAAAAGTTGTATGGGGAAAATGAACTAGAGAGAGAGAGATGATGGAACTTGAACATTTTTCATTAAACTAAGCAGGAAAGTGGCTAACACAGTACCCATGTCTGAAACTGCCATAATTAGCTGGTGCAAGCTGGCCCTGACTGGTCCACTTACTATTTTAAAGTTCTTCTAGACTTGGTCCTCTGCCTGCTTCCCACCTCACCCCATATTCTCGGATATCCTCATCCACACTCACAACTTCATTTTCCACCTGTATGACAATATATACAAATGTCTATCTCCAGCCCAGCCCTTGTCTCTAAGCTTCAGATCTGTATAGACAGTTGCCTCCTCAGCATCATCTTTAGGGTATCTCAGAGGCAACCCAAATTCAACATTTCTGAAACTGCAATGCACCCCAACCCTCTCCTCCACTAGTGCTCCCATTTTTATCCACAAATACACAAGCCAAAACCTCAGGGTTATCCTTAATACCTCATCCATTTCCCATCTATCATGAAGTCCTGCTATCTTTACTTCCTAAATATCTCTTTACTTTTTTTTGAGTCGGAGTCTCACTCTGTCGCCCAGGCTGGAGTGCAGGGACACGCTAACGACCACTGCAGCCTTGACCTGCTGGGCTCAGGTGATCCTTCTGCCTCAGCCTTCCAAGTAACTGGAACCACAGGCATGTGCCACCATGCCCAGCTAATTTTTTGATTTATCGTAGAGATAAGCTTTATGCTGGTCTCAAATCCCTGAACTCAGGCAATCCTGTCACCTCCGCCTCCCAAAGTGCTGGGATTACAAGCGTGAGCCACCGTGCCCAGCTCCTAAATATCTTTTATCTAGGTCCTGGTTACCATCACATCCTTCCTTCCTCCCTCCCAGCCACATTTGCATACTGTAGCCAGAGCAATCTTTCAAAATGAAAATCTGATATTGTTCACTCTCCATACCCACCTCTATTTAAGTATATATTTTTTGACTTTCTGTTTCTTTCACTTCTCCATTCTAACCACATGTACTCCTTCTTCTCTCCCCTCCAGTTTATTTATTTAAGGTCTTTAAAATTTCCAAGTACTCTTGCACCATAGAACCTTTGCAGTTAGCTGTTACTTCTCCCAAGGCTGGAGTGCAGCAGCACAACCTCAGCCACTGCAGCCTTGATCTCCTGGGCTCAGGCAATCCTTCCGTCTCAACCCCAAGTACACACCACCACTCCCGTTAATTTTTTTCTTACATTGTACAGAGGAGGTCTCGCCAAGTTGCCCAGGCTGGTCTCAAACCCCTGCGCTCAGGCAATCCTCTCACCTCCACCTCCCAAAGTGCTGGGATTACAGGCATGCACCACCACACCCAGCTCAGACTCCCTATAATGGAATGCTCATCTACCCCATCCCATCTCCCCAATAGTAATTTGCAGTCATTATTTAGATTTCTCTCAATCTGTTCTTCAGGAATGTCTTCCTGAAGAGGAATGCTCAGAGCGGATCAGATCCCTCAATTACAGCAACCTCATGTCCCTCTCCTTTATAGTGCTAGTCAGTTGCAATTTTTTATGTATTTGTTAGGCATCTACTACTTGTCACCACTATGAGATACAACTATGAGAAAAATACCATTCCTGCTCTAGTGGAGTTTATGGACATACAGATAGTAAGCAGATAATTATGGTGTCATGAGTGCCACCATGGCAATAAGTATAGGGAGCCATGGGAGCCCAGAAAAGAAGTTCCACATCAGATTTGGAGATGAGTAGGCTTCTCAGAAAAGTGGAAACCTGTGCTGAGATCTGAAGAATTCACAATGCAAAAGGAAGAAGGAAGAAACATACTCCAAGTAGAGAGAGCTGGAAGGAGAAACTATTCCAATCAGGGGCCCAGAGGCAGGTGCAGGGAACGTATGGTGAGTAGCATTTTGCTGGACTGCAGGATTGGAGGTGAGGATAAGAGATGGGAGTAGAGAGGTGGACAGGAGCCAGGTTGAACCTTGGGCCTCCCTTTGGCATCTGGGAATATAAACTCCCAGAAATATTAGCGTATGTGACAGATTTTGGCATTCTTTGATATATATATATATATTTGGCTTTGCAGCCCATAAACAGAAACCCTCTCTAGGCCAGACTGTTGAATCTCCTATCAGATCACCTCATATGATTATTCCTCAAAGCTTTCTGTGCCATCATGTTGCTACTTGCCACCTAAGAGGGCAGGAATAGGCTAACAAGTCAAATTTCAATTGTTAGAAATTTCCAAGAACTGAAAATAAACTTCCATCAATTTGGGATAGGTTAAATAAAGTTTTTGTTTGTTTCTTTGTTCGTTTGTTTGATCACTTGTTTGTTTTTGAGTCAGAGTCTCAATCTGTCGCCCAGGCCAGAGTGCAGTGGCATGTTCATGGCTACCACAGGCTCGACCTGTTGGGCTCAGGCGATCCTTCCACCTCAGCCTTCCTAGTAGCTGGAACCAGAGGTGCACGCCACCACATCTGGCTAATTTTTTGATTTATTATAGAGATGAGGTCTTGCCAAATTGCCCAGGCAGTTCTTGAACTCCTGGCCTCACACAGTCCTCTTGCCTCCACTTCCCAAGGTTAAAGCTTGATACATACTATGGAACACTCTACAGCTATTAAAAAGGGTAAAAGTATAGAACAATTTGAAAAGAAAAATACAGGTTTACAAATGAAACAGTATTTCTTTAAGAAGTACACAATCTTATTATTTATGCATTCTAGGTGGTTATATTCCCAAACTGTTAATGGAGAATCAGACTTTCAGGGGTTTTTTTCTTTTCTTTTTTTTTTTTGAGTCAGACTGTCACTCTGTCACCCAGGCTGGAGTGCAGCAGCACAACCTCAGCCACTGCAGCCTTGATCTCCTGGGCTCAGGCAATCCTTCCGTCTCAACCCCAAGTACACACCACCACTCCCGTTAATTTTTTTCTTACATTGTACAGAGGAGGTCTTGCCAAGTTGCCCAGGCTGGTCTCAAACCCCTGCGCTCAGGCAATCCTCTCACCTCCACCTCCCAAAGTGCTGGGATTACAGGCATGCACCACCACACCCAGCTCAGACTCTGAGTTGCTACTTGATGTACTTGATGTTGTTTGACTTTATTCAGCTATCATGTTAGCTTTTATACTTAAAGAAAAAAAGTTACAGGTATTGTCAATTTGGAAAAGAAAAATGTCCATGCCAAAACAAGGCATGTATGCTCCCAACACTGTCACTGATCAAGTTAGTCTGGACAGAAGAAGGTGCTGGGATCTATCTCCTGGTCATAAACTAGAATAGAAGCTGAGAAAGACTGACTACAAAAACATAGCCACAGGAATAAGCAAGCCAGCATAAAGGTTTTAAATATTTGGTCAGTTTTCCCCTGCAGTCACGCCCTCTAAGTGACACTTTGAAGACATCATTTATTCCTTCATTTCTTCTTTCATTTTTCTTTTTCTCCATTTGTCCATCAAGCCTTTAGTGAATAGGCATTCTTTGCTAGGCTTAATGCAGGGTAGTGGTGGGAAGAGAGAAATAAATCTGACTTCATATTCCTGTCCTCAAGTTTACAAGGAGAGAAAAGAAAGTAGGTTGTAAAGAAATGAATACAGAGAGTACAACTGCTTCCTTTTATTGAGCACCTGCTGCAGGATGTACATTAGTTCTCAAGGTAGGGTTTGTCTCCATTTCACAGATGAGAAAACAAGCTGCGATAAAATTTTCATCAAAGTACGGTGGGGGCATGCACCAGTTAGCTATTGCTGTGTAACAAACCATCCAAAAGCATGGTGGCTTAGAACAATAAGCACTTATTGCTTTTAAGTCTTTGAGTCAGCAGAATGGTTCTTCTTGTCTTGTTTGGGCTCACTCATATGTCCACAATCATCTGTGGTTGGGTGACTCTCCTGATCTTGACTGGCAGTAGGCTGGCTATAGGCTAATCTAGGATGACCTCAGCTTGGATCACTGGCTCGGTCACATGTCTCTCACCTGCACCCTCTCCTATCCCTCTGGCAGACAAGTCATTTTCTCATGTTACTGGTGAAGAGCAAGAAGGCAAGCACCCTTTTATTAAAGCTTCTGTTTGCTTCATGGTTATCAACATCCCACTGGC